GTGCCGCGAAAATATTTAAAGGTCATTAACTGAATTATTTTCTAAAGAGGTACAATAAGTTTATATATCAAATATAAAACCCCATTTAAATTTATTATACGAGTATAACATTTTTATAATAAATGATTTTTATAATCAATAACATTTTATAATATGCATAATATATAAAGTGGGTGCGGCGTGCGAAATGAGGTCGTGCGACACGTCCGTAGATTGTACAATTTGATAAAGACTTGCCGATGAACACCGATGAACACCGACAAATGTCGAAATCATCGAAAGTTGATTTCGAGAATGATTCAGCAATCCCTCATTGTAAACGTACTGAATTGTGCCCAGAGATGGAGTTTAACTTGTACTGAACCTATTTGTTTTTTATTATATGAACTATTCAATTAAAATTAAAATGTTTTTAATTAATAAACAAAAATTAGAAAACGGCTCTTGTGTGTCGAATACTGTTTCGTCCAGGAACATCAGTTACCAAATTAAAAACAGTTATTCGTCAATATAACGAAAATTATTTATCATTCGGTTTCAAGTGTAGTGAAGGAAATCCATCACGTCCCACATACGTAATTTGTGGCGAAAAGGTTAGCAAATGGAGCTATGGTTCATATCTAATTAAAGAGACATTTACAATCCAGACATTCTCAGCTGTCCGAAAAGACGGTGGAATATTTCAAACGATTTGCATTCAGTAATAGTAAAAAAGCAAAGATATGCACAAACTATGCAACGATATCAGATTAAGCGGAAAAAGCGAGTTGTAGAAAATAGTAGAGTTGATAAACAAATGCTCATACAATTGTATAATCCGTTATTTTACCGGCCTGATGTGCAAATCTAAAAATAATGTTTGAGGAAGAATGCAAATAGGAAATATAAAAATTCCGCTTTCAGATAAGACAATTACTCGGCGTATTAAGGATTTATCTGAAAATATAGAATTCCAAGTAATATTTCACCTCAAGGGAAGCGAAAATGTTTGCAATTCAGTTAGATTAATCTACTGACAGCATTGGTAAACCCAAACTTTTAATATTCAGTAGATTTGTTTGGAAAGAAGAAATCATAGAACTGTTTTTAATTTGTCGACCACTCCAAACAACAACAAAAGGCCCAAGATATTTTCGATTTGATTTGGTCGATAATTACTTCAGTTCCAAGAAGTTGTCTTGGGAATCCTGAATAAGAATTTAAATGGATGGAACTTTGTCTATACCCGAATGTATAGAAGATATTCCAAAATTCGTCAAGTTCGGATATCTCATTAAATGATAAATAATACTAATTAGAAAAATAAATACAAGGTGTGACAGAAATAACTCCCATATATTTCTCTTAGAAATATTTCCCAAATAATGGTAAGACATTAGTGACAATAGTTGGGTTTGGTTTACGGTATATCAACACCTAAATGGGTTATTAAATGTCGATAAGATTTTTATTGCTGCTAATATTTTCCAAAAATATATTGCTGCTAATATTTTTTCCAAAGATGTATTTCTGCTAATATTAAGGATTTATCTGAAAATATAGAATTTCAAGTAATATTTCACCTCAAAGAAGCGAAGATGTTTTCAATTTAGTTGAATGAATCTACTGATAGCATTGGTAAACTCCAACTTTTAGCATTCAGTAGATTTGTTTGTAAAGAAATCATAGAACAGTTTTTAATTTGTCGACCATGCCAAACAACAACAAAAGACCAAAGATATTTTCGATTTGATTTGGTCGATAGTTGTAAGAACTTGTCTTGGGACTCCTGCATAAGAATTTAAATGAATGGAACTTTGTCTATGTCAGGAAATGTAGAAAAATGTAAGAAAACGCCAAGCTCAGATATCGTATGTATAAAAAATAATAAACAGAATTAAGTATACTAAACAATGGTCAACCCTAGCTGAGAACCGTGACGCCTGGCGTCTCACCACCAACCATGCTGTCTCCTCCTTTGAAAACATCTGCAGGGCCGCTCTCAGGGACAAGAGTCAGAGGAGGAAGTACTGCAACGCTATGCCATCGAGCACAGGCCGGACTTTCATCTACAACTACCGCGAGTGGATTTATCAGTTACAAACATGCCTACAAGCGACGTGTACAGACTCCCTCTTGATCCTCGTTTTGCGAAGCCAAGCCATGATGACTAAACAGAAATATAAATAAATACAGAATGCGGTAGAAATACCTCCCACATATATCTCCCAGAAATACCTCCTACATAATGGTAAGACATTAGTGGCAATGGCGTCTTCATCTAGATAATGTCTTAGCATTATATAGGATGTATTTCTGGAAGGTACACCCAAGTGCAAATTATTTGAAACAAAGCGAATAATTCCGTTATTATTTACTTTTTTTCCGTATTTTTACAATGAAATATGGCCCAGTGCATATGTTAGTACTTCGTATGTCCATTCTATGAAGTCGTTACTTGCAGATTGACCACAGATTCTCGATTGGATTTAAATCAGGAGAGTTTCCGGCCCAGTCTATAGTACTTGGATTTGCTCACTGGTAAGGCTTGCCATTATGTTCGTGCAGCGTTACAATTTTCGTACGCTTCCTTGGAGTAACGTCCATCGCAGACAAAGACTGTAGGACAACTAATCGACAGTCGAGAAAATAGTGTTTAGGTGTGAGGAAAATCTGATGCAATAACGGGTGACGCAATAGTTTTCAAGGCCAAACAAATTTCATCATACACCCCGAAAATAGGTTCATATTACTGCACACGATTGCAAATAACCTAATCCGAGGAAAAAATAGAAATCGATTACACACTGTCACTCCAGTAGGTCTAAAACAGACCGTATGGTGAAAGAAAGGAAATTAAAGCGGTTGTTTCAATTAATTTGCACAAGGGTGTATATGGGAGGTATTTCTGCCGAAACCTGTATAAGTTTTAATTAAGAATTTTGATCATTATCTTTTTATTACAAATTATAATAAATTGTTTTGTCCGTGTTAAATAAATTATAAAAAAAGTATACTGATTTTTTTTTTATAATCTAAATTTAAGTCGTGAAAATTTAACTATAGGTTCAAGTGTGCTGTGAGAAAAGAAAAAAAAAAACGTTGAGAAAAATTGGTTTAAGGCAGTCATAGGCAAACTGCGGTCCGCGGCCCGTTTGGTTTTCTGAATAGGGCGCTTAATTCCATAAAGAAAATAACCTTAAAATATTATTTTTTTTCGTTCTCACTTGTTCACTCACACACTCTCTCATGCATGACCGCATATATAAATAATAATTAAGTACAATGTTCCTTGAACTCTGTAAAATTTTGCAGAAAGTAACGTTGTCAGCATTTTAAACCATTGGCGATTTTTCCTAAGGAAGACCATATGTGTAAACATCTTTCGCTTTTGAAACAGGAAACGTTCATGAGGATTTTTTTCTCTAAAGAAAAAATGTTTTCATTTTCACATGAATAAATAAGAAATAAATCCCACGCAGTGACATGTGATAATCACTGTCATTAGTGATACTATTATACCAAGCCATCAAAGTTTTAATTATAAAAAAAAAATCTTTTCTAAAAAATAAACTTTCCTACTTTTTCTAAGGTACATGTTTATGCAAATAGTCTTCTGTAGTGAAAATAACTGAAATACTGACTACGAAAGTACCTTGAATCTTTTTAATAGTGCGGTCCGCCTCATGATGAACCATAGATCATGCAGCCCACTGGCCAAAAAACATTGCCCATGTCTGGTTTAAGGCATAATCACAATGATTTTTTTTCATAGGTGTTGTGTAATATATAAAGTGGATAGAGCTTGCGAAATGAAATTGCGCAGCAGGTCCACAGATGGCGCGATTTGACAAGAACTTGCCGATGATCGCCGATGTCCGCATTTGGAATAAGGAAAACGCTTCCAACCCGCATAGAGGAACTGGGGATACATTGTATATTTACTCAAAGATTCCGCTGCAATTTTTAAAAATTCTGTATATTTTCATCTTACTGCAGTCGTCATTCCAGTTGATTCGCTCTGTTCCTTGTTGCATTTTTGAGGACACAATATAGGGTGACCCCAAAAAAAAATAAGGACTTTTTAACAATCCAATAAAACCAAGAGTGATGGAAGAAAAATATTTTATTCATAGTAATTGAAACCTTAAAACATGCCATTTAAGAAACAATAATGGAATTTTCATTTTTAAAAATTACGTCCTGTAGATGGCGTCCTCCTGTACGAATGCATTCTTGAAATCTGCTGTTGAGATTCCTCATTGACTGCTGCAACATCTCAGCTGGGATACTGTGAATTTCATCTTGAATTCTAAATGGCGAAATGTTTACTTGCTCAAGGTTACTGCCTCGCAGTGTTGCCACTTGCTCATGTCTGGCAATACGCACTTCAAAAATTCCCATTTTTTGGGGTCACACTGTATTAGTAGCAGTTGGCGCTTCTATGCGCCCTGTGCCTTCCAGACGCGGGTGATCACAGCTCTCCACAATTTCTTGTCCTTTGTAGCACTGGATAAATTTTGTCTTTTCACTATCTCTGCTAATCCCTGTTCTCTCGACTGTTTAAACAAGCTCATTCAGTAGCTTATACGCTGTTTCTCCCTGTCCCCCTTACTTTCAATATGTTCTGTGAGTGTCAAATTTTCTAAGCCTCCTTTCCTTATATTCCCTATTAATTTCAACTGTCTCTTCATGATATTAAGTCTAAGAGTTATTTTTTGTTTCTATTTTCTCTAAACTTCGTTGCTGCTCACATGTTCAGTCCTTGGTATTCTCAGCATCCTTCGGTAGGGCCACATTTGTCCCTTTAAAGCTTTTCCTTATCTGTGATGAAACTGTCCAACATTCACTGCCATTTAGAAAGACTAATATTGCATAACAGTTACTCTTTTCTTTGCTTCTAACGATTTTTCCCTGTTTCTTATTACTTTGCTTTAGGAAAGCATCTTTCATTATGCCTTCGGATTTCGGTGTTTGCACTTTCCATACTCTGTTAAAAGCCTATCTAGATTTTTTATGGCTTACGGCCATATCACGTTGAAATACCGGTTCTCGCATGATCACCAAAGTTAAATAACGTCAAGCCTGGTCAATACCCAGATGGGTGGCTGCTTGGGAATACCAAGTGCTGTAAGCTTTGATGCGCGGGTGGTGTAATGGAAAACGGCTCGGAATTGGAAATTAGTGTGTCGAGTTCAAATTCCAGTCGAGTTCACTTACGCGCAAACATACTTGGGAAAAGGTATGAATCCACCACTTCTTCACCCCAGTTATGGATTAATTTCTAGGATTTGTTTCAGTAAATTAATATAATAAAAAATACCTTTTACAATCTAAATTTTTTCTGGTTTTAAACGACCCACAAAATGTTGATAAGCCACAAAAACAATGAATCAAAACGTAGATATTTGAATTGTTTTATTTTGGCTTCTCCAATTTATAATTTGCATGTTGGTCCCTTTTGGTACAGTAGAATGAAAACGAGGGTAATAATAGACTATATATTTTTTTTTATTTGTTTGTAAATGTCGAACAGGAAGTCTCCTATTGCTTTCATCTTTACTGAAGCTAAGAGACGTGAAAGTTAAAGAATGAGAAAACAGAACTTAAGATAAACAAATGTGATCTGCTTTTAACGCAATATTTACTGACGATCCGATATTTTTCTTATTTAAAAAAAAATAAAGCGTCATTGATTATTTTTCATCCTTTTTTTCAGCCTGTTTACACAGCTTTGCATTGCAACAAAAGATGATTGATTCCAATGCACACATGTGCATAGAATAAATTAAGCTTGCAATCAATGGCTGGTTGATCGACCCCACCACCATGCATACAACGAAGGGGAAGAAATAAAGACGTTTAAAAACGAAAATTCTACATCTCTGTGAGGCCTGCGTTAATTCCAGACGCCCGATGATCAATACATTTTATTATCCATCAAATTTCAGTAGCAAAAATCTCGCGATACATTATCATAGCAAACGATTAGTAATCATCACCCCCTCCCAAACACACGCCTAAATAAGACTGTTCAGATATGGCTTGAAGATTAAAGGCATGAAAATGACAGTCACCAGGCGGTGTTGATTCCTATATCGAGACTGCTTATATCTAGAAATGATCAATCTCCAGCATTGAGCACTGTTTCTTTATAGCGATTTACTAAGCATAACTTAGTTATGGCACAAGGCTGAAAGTATGGAGCACCGAGTGAAGATCAAACTCACTACTCAGTCGTAATTGGTCTAGAAATACATGTTTTCTATTACACCACTTCGAAGGGTCCAAAATTATATTCTAAGTATAGCTTAGATGTGGCTCAAGGCCGAAAGTGTGGAGCACCCAGTGAGGATCAAACTATTCAGTCGTAACAGATCTATCGAGAAACGCTTGCAAACATTTATAACACATCGAAGTGGCCATAGAACACATCCCTTATAAATGTAGTTTATTTTAAACTATTTTAAACTAATATATATATATATATATATATATATATTAGTTTAAATTAAACTAATATATATATACATTTTTTTCTGTAGTTCACTGACAACAGCAAGCAGAAATATTTCTCCTCCCGATGATGGCCATTTCGGTCGAAACTAGTCGAGGAATCTAAATGGAATAATAATAATAAAAAAACGAAAGAATATTAATCTACAACCCAGTGTGTCTAATGATTTTAATTTTTTATTTTCTTATTGTTCAATATATATATATATATATAGTTTATTTTTAATACATATATATATATATATATATATATATATATATATATATATATATATATATAACGTTGTTTAACGTTCTTTTTTATAGATACAAACAAAAATAACATAAAAATGTCTTTAATAAATAAATTGTCGGACTTTGTCCATTTCTTAATATATGACGTCATTTATTTACATTTGATACGCCAGAGCAGTTATGAATGTACGAGATTCATGGAAGATTGAAGTTTATAAGCAGTAAATTCGACTTTGCCTATCGAACTTTCCTTTGTGGCCGAGAGGTTAGGCACGTCAGCGTAAATGACGTGTTCCGTATAGGATACAGGTTCGAATCCTGTCAAAGGACGAATATTTTCTATGAAAATTTCTCGGACATTCAGTCCGGTAAAAAATGTTATTTAATACTGTTTATTATAAACAGATCATTTACTTAAATACTTGTATCTATAAAAAAGAACGTTAAACATAAAAATGTCTTTAATATATATATAGTTTATTTTAAAGTAATATATATATATATATATATATATATAGTTTATTTTAAATATATATATATATATATATATATAGTTTATTTTAAAATATATATATATATATATAGTTTATTTTATAGTTTATTTTAAATAAATATATATATAATATATATATATATATATAGTTTATTTTTTATATATATATAGTTTATATATATATATATATATTTATTTTAAATTATATATATAGTTTATTTTAAACTAATATATATATATAATATATATATAGTTTTATTTTAAATTTATATATATAG